GCTGGCTTTTGCGCTGACGTATGGCCTCCCCTCAGACAACGCAGACCATTCTCTCACGGTTAGTTATTCCAAACGGTGTGGCAGGACTAAGGTTCGTCTACCCTAGCGCTGCAAGCATTCTCTGAGGAAAGCTTTCTACAAACTCTGAAACTTTCCCACAATTGGAGACATCCCGCTGATGCTGGTGTTTTTGCCTGGTTTCGTTACCACCTGCTTCCCAGAAATTTCCTCGTGTCTTCTGAATTTAGAAACAGCCTTTCACCAAGTGCACCTACAGGTTTTGAGGCCGTGGCCCATTTGGTATTATAGGATAGCCTGCGGCCTGGCCTCCTTTTGCGTTTCAAACATTCAAGTAATGGGGTAATTACAGGTCTGTGTGCAAACATCGTTCCTCAGGGAACCTTCCTTCAGCCCCGTAACACTTGTCTGGGGGACTTGTCCAGGTTCCCAAGTTGAACGCCCTCATCTCGACTTTAAGTGACTTTTTTATAGTATTCGTCACAGCTCATAATCAGCTGGTCATAGGATTATTTGATTAAAATCTATCCCAACTCAATATAAAATCCACGAGAATAGAAAAGGCCACGTCTACTTTGCCACCTGTTTTGGGTCTAGTGCCTAACGCTGTGGCTGGAACAAATATTTGTTGAACACGTGAGAAATTAATACAATGGGGGAAACCAGACGGTTGAAGCCAAGCTAATTAAGGTAGAAAAGTCCCACGTGATTCGTGACCTTCTTTTTCCTGCTTATGACACCTCCCTCCAACGAACGGCCCTGCTCTCCTCTCTGGAGAGGGGGTCGTGTCTACAATGTCTTCACTACTCCCAGAGGCGGGGTGCTTTCCTCTGGCTCCTGCACCCCCAGATCATCTCTGGGAAGACCGCACATGATAGAAAGGAGAGGCGGGTGAAGGTCAAAGCCCCTTCTCCTCCTCACGGGGGCGGGTTTCAAAGCCCCTTCGCCTCCTATGGATAGCGTGACCCTTTCCCTCTTCCTCTCTTCTGGGGCAATGGAGCTGCAGAACTCCTACCTCACCGTGCCTGATCAAGTCTCGTTTCCTGATCTGAAGGTAGAGCGGGTAGAAGCTGGAGGTAAAAGGGCACTTCCCCAAAGGCACCCGAGGGTAACACACGCCAAGGTGCTGCCACATGCCCACGACGTGTTCCTACAACTGTCTCCTACTCTGTAAGAATCTGATACCCACAGGTATCTGATAGTTACATTACTTCTATTAAATTCCCTTTTAAAAAAAAAATTTTTTTTTTAACATTTTATTTATTTTTGAGACAGGGAGAGACAGAGCATGAACAGGGGAGGGTCAGAGAGAGGGACACCCAGAATCTGAAACAGGCTCCAGGCTCCGAGCTGTCAGCACAAAGCCCGACGCGGGGCTCGAACTCACGGACCGTGAGATCATGACCTGAGCCGAAGTCGGCCGCTCAACCGACTGAGCCACCCAGGCGCCCCTTAAATTCCCTTTTGATCGTTGTTAGTAAGAATTCCTAATAGATGCACATTCTTATAAACAGGTGAACAGGTTTATAAATCATTTCAAGGGACAGTTACCCATGTTGACAGTACTTACAAACTATTAGTATTAATGACAACTACAATATATGCAAAAGCATTCTGGGCCTGTTAACTCCTCAAAGCAGGAAGGAAAACGAACACATTTTACAAACACCAACCTAAATACTCATTGGTAGACAGAGGGTAACTGTGTGGCGGGCGACAGCAGCTAGCGAGGAAAAGTAAGACTGAATGGTGCCCAGTTCCTCATCCTGGTGAGCCTGGCTTTACCTGTGCTCTGGAGCTTGTCATTTCTCCGACAGGTATCTACTGGGTGCCTATTCTGTCCAGCCACTGTACCAGGCACCTGGCACAACAGATGACATGGTCTCTGCTGTCAGAGATCTTACAGCGGAGGAGAGTTCTTCTGTGCGATTATCTGATTAAAATCCAACCACCTTTGGGCGCCTGGGTGGCTCAGCTGGTTAGACGTCCAACTCGACTTCAGCGCAGGTCACGAATCACGGTTCATTAGGTTGAGCCCCGTGTCGGACTCCGTGCTGACAGAGCAGAGGCTTCTCAGAGTTCTCTCTCTCCCTCCCTCTCTCTCTCGAAACAAATAGATTAAAAAAAAATCCAATCGGCAGTTGCACTAAGTGTTGTGAAGCACAGCGAACAGGTGCCATCAGGGTTACAACGGGGTGGGGGGAACCTGACAGGAGTCAGGGGTGGAGGAAAGCCACTACGGGGCTCCGAGAGTGGTCTTTTTCGAACATAATAAACATATTAAAAGCAGCTCTACAACTGTTCCAATACCGACTCCTGACAGAGGCAGGGATTGTGGGGAAGGGCCAGAACGGACGGCGCGTCCAACAGCAACCTCTGGGTGTCTGAAAATAGCTGCCCATGTTAATACTTCCCAACACTCTCAGGAAGTGGAAAGACACACAGCGTAAGCAGACACGGGCACATGTCCGTCTATTGCCTGTGCTTTCCGCCTATTCAGGAGCTGGCTGGAGACGCGGCCCTCCCATCACGGTCGGGCCGACGAGGCTGAGCTGCGTCCGGGTCCAGGAGTGCTAACGGGAGCAAGCGGGTTTCTGCTCACGTCCCGTGTGCCACTGCCTCCAGGTCCTCAGGGTGAGGCGTGCGCGCCAGCAGGTGCTCCCTACGCGCAGGCCGTTTCATCTTCCCTCCTCTCTGACAGAGGCGAGAAGGAGGACCTTCTGCACAAAGCCCTCTCAGGTCT